TATGAAAGTACATACATAGCTCAGTAACTGCTGCAGAGTAATCCCTGGACCTATACAAGAAAGTACTGTCTTCGTAGATAGTGTTTATTTAGAGCCTGCCTGGCACCACTCTGCACTCTTTATGCACAGAAACTCACTTTATTCTGAGCACTTGTAATCCCTATTTACAATAAGACTCCAGCGACAGACATGATCTGGCCAGAGCCATGTGGTTAGCAAGGCTTAAAGACAGGATTTGGGCCAGACTGTGAGGCCCCAGAATCCAGGCTCTTAGCCACAATGTTGGGCTGTCACCCCACTTGGTTCCCTGCGCTATTGTGACTTATAGGAAGAAATATTTGGTCTTCCTCCCATTCCTGGCAAAAAGTCCCAAAACTCTGGGGATTTCCTAAATGCTGAGAAGGGTTAAGGTTGTCTTTTGTTATGTTAATGAGGTGACTTTTGAACATACCTAAGGGTTGGCTAGGGGAGCCAAATAGGTGCTTAGAGGGTTGAAACTTTCAGTCCCATCACTTGACCCCCAGGAAGGGGAAAGGGGCTAGAGACTGAATCAATCACCAATGGCCAATGATCTAATCAATCGTGCCTACCTAATGAAGCCTCCCTAAAACCCCAAAAGGATGAGGTTTGGAGAGCTTCCAGGGTGGTGAACCCATGGCCATATGGAGAAAGCAGCACTTGGGGAGGGCCTGGAAGCTCCTCGCCCCTTCCCCATACCTCTACCTATGTGTCTCTTTCATCTGGCTGTTCCTGAGTCATATCCTTTGTCTTCAACCAGTGATCTAGTGACTAAATGGGTTTTCTGAGTTCTGTGTGCAGATGAATTGAACCCAAGGAGAAGATCAGGGGAACTCCTGACCTGTAGCTGTTCAGTCAGAAGCACAGGTAACAATCTGGACCCATGACTGGTGTGAAGGGGGTTGGCGCACAGCCTGGTGGCACTGAGCCCTTGACCTGTGGACTCGGAACATATCTCCAGGTAGATAGCATCAGATTCAGGTGAATTGTAGGCCACCCCACTGGTGTCAGAAAACTGGTCGGTGTGGGAAAAAACCCACATATTTGGTGACCAGAATGTCAGAAGTCAAGGGTTCTGTGTATGCAGGAGAAACGCAGGAGGAGTATGGGATTTTTCTTTCTAGTCCTCAAACCTGATAATCCTGCTCAATTTTAAATGCAGTATTGATTCTTTCACATAGCAACTGTTCACTGGGTCATGGTTGGTCAGGGTGAAGCACTCAGACACAAAGACACAAGGATAAAGACTCTGTCCTCAAGAAAGACATAAAAATAAATGCATTTGAGACTGGAACAAAGTGAGACGTCAAGAAGGAGGTGAGCAAAGGTACCGGATATGGAGTCTCTGGTCCATGAGACTGGGAAGCTGAGAGAAGGCACCTGGAGAGCACAGAGGGTCTCTGAAGACACAAGGCTAGAAAGGCAGTTTGGGGTTAAGTGGAAAGATCTTGAATATTAGATTTTAAAACATGGGTTTTATTTTGCACTGATGATTTTGAACTAGGGCTGATGCAAATGGGACCATAGCTTAGGATGATTGCCCTGACATCCTTATAGAAAGAAGTTAGGCCGGAGGAGAAATGCATCAGAAGCAGGGAGACCAGTCAGGAGGCAACTCTATGTTTGAAATCAGCATTTGAATGTGTAAAAAGCTTAGAACCTATGATTTAACTATTCTGCTCTCGTTTACATTCCTGATGTCAAACAAGACCTCGTCGTGTGTTTAAAAATATGAATATGTGGGGCGCCTGGGTGGCTCAGTCGTTAAGCGTCTGCCTTCGGCTCAGGTCATGATCCCAGGGTCCTGGGGTCGAATCCCACATCGGGCTCCCTCCTCGGCGGGAAGCCTGCTCTCCCTCTCCCACGCCCGCTGCTTGTGTTCCTGCTCTCGCTATCTCTGTCTCTGTCAAATAAATAAATAAAATCTTAAAAAAAAAATAAATAAATAAAAATATGAATATGCGTTTGAATATACATAGAGAAAAAGTCCGCTACTTGCATGTTGTATAGCAGAGGGTATCTATACCCTTTTTCCTAAGTTGTAGGTATTGTTCAAAATTTTTCAAGTGAGGGGCGCCTGGGTGGCTCAGTCAGTTAAGCGTCTGGCTTTGTCTCAGGTCAAGTTCCCAGGGCCCTGGGGGGAAGCCCCAGCTCCCGCTCCCTGATCCGCCCGGAGCCTGCTTCTCCTTCTGCCCCTCCCCCCACTTGTGCTCCCTCTCTCGCTCTCAAATAAATATATGAAATCTTTAAGGAAAATAAATAAAAGAAAACAAGAAGAAAAAAGTAAAAAAAATAAAAATTTTTCAAGTGAGCAGGTATTATCATTTTTATATTCAGAAAAGTTACTTTTTATTTTTTTAAATAAAGCATTTTCTTTTTCCACAGAAACCCATTTACTCACTAGGTTACTGGCAGCATCTAGAGAAGTCACAGGCCAGGGTGCTGTGAGCGGCTGCGCAAGTTGACTGGTAACCATGGCAACCGGAAGGCCGGGAACACCGTGTTCTCGAATCAGGCTCCAGAGATGCCTCGGCTGCAGCTTCCCTGGGATTAGCCTGGCGAGCCACTGGCCCCGAGACAAACTGTGGACTGGAAGTCAGTCGGGGCCTTTTCTCTTCCTTTTTAGATACTCCAAGATCTTCCACCACTTGCCACCCTCCCCCCTCCGCTCCCCTGACCCAGACTGGTAACATATCATGCATTCCAAGTGTTTTGTTTTGTTTTGTTTTTTAAAGATTTTATTTATTTGTTTGACACAGAGAGAGACACAACGAGAGAGGGAACACAAGCAGGGGGAGTGGGAGAGGGAGAAGCAGGCTTCCCGCAGAGCAAGGAGCCCGGTGCGGGCCTCGATCCCAGGACCCCGGGATCATGACCTGAGCCGAAGGCAGACTCAGCGACTGAGCCACCCAGGCGCCCCCATTCCAAGAGTTTTATTAAAGTATAGCATAAATACAGAAAAGTATGACACATGAATTTTTTTTTACGATGTTTTTAAGCTTGTCTCGTACCATCCCTGACCTTCTCCGACAAAACTTACATTAAAAGAAAATTAAAGGGTGCCTGGTTGGCTCAGTGGGTAGAGCATGCAACTCTTTTGATCTCGGGGTCTTGAGTTCAAGCCCCACGTTGAGTGTAGAGCTTACTTAAAACAAACAAACAAACAAACAAATAAATAAAATTACATCAAAAGAAAATTAAAGAATCACCCACCCTGTGTTTTCCTCTCCGAAGCCCAGCTCATCCACCTATCTATTCTCCCATGAAACCCCCATGTGGAATGTTCACTTCATCCAGGCGTGGCTGGGCCAGGTTTGCAAAGATGGGTGGGTCTTCAAAGAAACCACGGTCCCAAACAATGACAAGACAGTGAAGATGGACCATGTTAGGGGAATTCTTGGGGCCTGGGGGGCAAAGAGGCCAAGAACAATCGAGGCTCCCGTGGGAAAGGGTGCCAGAGGATTCAGCAAGGAGGTGATGCTTCAGGTGGGTCTTAAATATGGTCTGCAGGAAGGGCAATCCATGCAGAGACAGCGTGTTCAAGTCCCCTAGGACTGGGAAAGTAGGGGACATCCGGGTTATGACAAGCTATGTGATTCAATGGTGCCCAGCTGAGTACAACTAAGAAGATGACAGACACCACTCTTACAAACCATACCAGTGGCCACACTAATGAACATTCCACCACATGCCAGATCTTCTCGGGTTGCGTTCCCCTCCATTCTTTCTCCCACAGTCTGTCTATTCAAACCATTCTGAGCTGGATCTGTTTCCCAACCTGGCCCATTCCCTGTGTAGGCAGGACCCCCAGGGAGCCCCAGAGTGTCCTGGCTTGGAGGAAGGAGTCTACTGTTACCCTGGGGCCCTGAGTGACTGCTGGGCACGGAAGCTGGAAGGTGTGAGGAGTAGCTTCAGAAAGCAAAGCTAGCTGGTGTCCATATCCAGGGTAAGGCTGTGCTAGGAAGTCTCAGATGGTCCAACACATTAGATCCAAGAAAGCCTGGGAGCCAAACTGACATTTAAAGAAAATGGTCGGGATGCCTGGGTGGCTCAGTCAGTTCAGCATCTGCCTTCTGCTCGGGTCATGATTCTGGAGTCACAGAATCGAGCCCCGCATCAGGCTTCTCCCTCTGCCCCTCACCTCACTCATGCTCTCTCTCTCTCTCAAAAATAAAAAAATAAATTAAATTAAAAATTTTTTAAAAAAGAAAAGAGAAAAGGATCAACAATAGAGAACAATAATTTACTCACTGGATATTTATTGAGCATCTTTTATGTACCAAGCGCTGGGCCAGGGGCTGAAGATCCAGCCATGAGGAGTTAGTCCATCCCTGCTGAGGCTGCTGTTGGTACCCACAACATGGCGGGTCAGTTGTGAAAGCCAGTGGCCTTCCTGCTTAGGCCATGGGGTGTCTGCCTGATTGGCCAGTCTGTGCCACAATGGTTATTTATTTTTAATGCCATCTTTGGCCCCTGGCCTTGTTTTTAAAAATGTATAATTACAAAGGGAAAAAAGGGAAAAAAAACACAAAAAACTCTGAACCTGACCTAAATTGGGAATGTCGGTCTGGGAGAGCTTCACGGAGGGAGAGACCCTTGAGCTGAGATCCAGATGATGGGCCGGAGATACTTGGTGGACACAGAAGGTGAGCAGAAGGTTAGCGCCTTCTGAGCCCATAGGGAGAGCAAGACCATTTTGTCGATAGAGTTTGGTTGAATCCTCTCAGACGAAGGGGTGGAGAATTGAGAGCTGGGAAGGCTTCTAAGCTGATTTGGGCATCAGTGCCTGCTAAAGGTCTGAATGTTTGTGTCGCCCCCAAACTCCCCACGCTGAAATCCTACTGCCTAAAGTAATGGCATGGGCAGGTGGGCCTTTTGGGAGGTGCGTAAGCCAGGAGGGCGGAGCCCTCATGAATGGGATCCGTGCCTCCTGGAAGAGCTCCGGAGAGCTCCTTAGCGCCCCCAGCAGGTGAGGATGAGGCAGGAAGACGCGAGCCTCTGAACCGGGAAAGAGGATCCTCCCCAGACCGCGAGCGTGCTGGTGCCTTGGACTTGCCGAGGACTTCCCAGCCTCCAGAACTATGACAAACAAACTTCTGCTGTTTGTAAGCTCCCCACGTCTGTAGTATTTTGTGGGACTGGTGGGATTCACGTAACAAGAGGGGGCGGCTCAAACCACTAACAGCGAAAGCGTAGTGAGGGATGCTCAGCACTGCTGTGTACAGAGAGGTTGGAAAGAATGTGCGCAGCAAGGGGCCTCACAACCAGCAGGACAAGCCCAGACAAGCAGTCCATCCAGCTGGGTGCACACGCGCAAAAACGGTCACCTGGGGCGACAGCGGCTGTGACACCGCTAGGACCCCACCAGCACCGCCCTTCCCCCTGGACAGTCTGCGTCCTTCGCTGCACCTCCGTTTTACCTCTCCCCTGAAGGGGAGCCTCCTGCTCCTGCGCCTGACGGGTGAGCTTTATGTCATGTGTCTGCATCCCGGCTTCCAGGCCCACTGGGAAAGCGGGCTGCTAGCTTCTTTCTTGGGGAAGCGAGACTTGGAAGGTGGGAAAGCTCCCAGGCATACGCAATGCGCTCCAGAGGAGCCAGCAGGGGGTTTTCACCCGTTGCGCTGGAGGTCTGTCGTTAAGCCTGGAGGCGTCCTTTTCTAAGATTGGGCACAGCTAGAGCCTCCGTTGTCCTGTTTCTTATCTATGAAACGGAGCCACTTAAGACAAACTAAAACGCCCTTGTCTCATAATACTTTCACTCAGCACCAGCTACATAATTTGCAGGGCCCAGTGAAAAAATGCAAATGATGGGCTCTTTGTTCAAAAATGTAGAGCTTAAAGACAGAGACAGAAGAGCATTAGACCAAGCTGGGCCCTTCTGAGCCTGAGTCCCCATGCACCTGCACAGATCACACACCTTTGAGGCTGGTTCTGCTTCCTTCTTCCTCTGTGGCCAGTAGGATTATTTTGTATGAACAACTGTCTAATCTAGTGTTGCTAGACACAACAGGAAGAGAGGGGAACTCAAACGATATTCTTTATTCTAGAAAGGTCTGGATCCTTCTGGAAACCTACTAGAGTTCATTTGGGAGGCATCACACTGGAACCTACACAAGGAAGAAATGATGAAATGCCAAGGCTGAATTGAGAAGAGTTGCTTTGGCAAGCTTGTTCATCCTGCCTGTCCTCATAACAATGCCCTACTGCTTGTCATGGTTTGTCATGGTGGGTGAACTGGGGCAGGATTTTGAAACATTACAGAGGTTTCCTTTCTCCTTTCATTTCTTCCTTTCTTTCTTCTTTCTTTCTTTTTTCCTTCCTTCCTTTCTTTCTTTCTTTCTTTCTTTCTTTCTTTCTTCCTTTCTTTCTTCCTTCCTTCCTTTCTTTCTTCTTTCTTTCTTTTTTCCTTCCTTCCTTTCTTTCTTTCTTTCTTTCTTTCTTTCTTTCTTTCTTTCTTCCTTTCTCATATAAACCTTGGTCAAATATATCCTTTGAAGCTAAAGAAAGACATCCATAGGCTGATATTGCATACCAAAGGCTACAAGTGGTTTAAGATTTATATAAAAAGAGAAAACATCCCAAAATTCATCCATCAATACCAGGCTTCTCCAAAATCCCATAGGACCTTAGCTACTAAAAGAGAAAGCTAGAAATTGGTAATACCCATGCTTATATGCATGGAGGACTCTAGTTGCCATGTAAATGTGTTTTTTTGTTTTGGTCTGGTTTGTCGGGGGGAGTAGATTTTATTTATTTATTTGAAAGAGAGAGCGCACCCGAGAAAGAGTGCACGAACGGTGGGGAGGGGCAGAGGAAGAGGGAGAAGCAGACTGCCCGCTGAGCAGGAGCCCCAACACACGAGGCTCAATCCCAGGACCATGAGATCATGACCTGAGTCAAAGGCAGATGCTTAACTGACTGAGCCACTCAGGTGCCCCTAGATGCCATGTAAATGTAAGTCTAATTTCTGCCTTGCGTGCTCAGGTGGTTTGAGTAGAGGTATGATGATGTCAGCCCTTGGAAGTGAGGTAAAAATTATGTCTCCCTGACAGGTGTCCTTAAACATGCTGAGACAAGGAGGAGAGATGCAATTACAGACAGGAGGGACGTCCGGTTTGGGGACAAGAGAGACTGTCTTGTGTCAACGTGCAAGGGAGAAGCAAAAGCAAAGATGGTGTGTGGATAGCAGGGTTGGAAATCTACAAAGATTGGTAACATGGATGGGGGAGAAAGGCATCAGTTTAGATGGTTCTGGAACACATGCAGGGATTCTTAACATTTGTGGGGTCTTATTTAGTACAGAAGATGGTAAAGCACCCCAACTCTGGTTGTAAAAACTCCCTTCCACTTACTAGCTTTGTGACCTTGAGGAAGTGATTTAACTTTGTCAAGCCTCAGTTTCCTTGTCTGCAGAATGAGGATAGTGATGATAACTCTATGGATATTAAATCATTTATCAAACATTTCTAACAGTGCCCACTTGATAAGAACTCAGTAAATACTAGCTATGGTCATGATGATGGTGATGATAATGAAGGTAGCGGATGACGGTGGGCAAGGGAGTTAGCTGGTCTCTCCTGCCAGAGCACCAGGGTAGGGCCAGTGAGCCTGTGGATGCCACAAGGGTGGGGTAATGATGAGAGAGGAGGAACCTCTCCTCTCCTGCTCTAAGCAGGCCTGTGCCTTCTAAGAGCAGTGTCTGAGATCCTCTTTAGATATTCATGGGGTTATGTTATGTGTGTATATGTTATACACAGTGATCATCAAGCTGCAGTTTTCCTACTTTAGAGCAAATATTTGGTCAAGTGCCCACAAAAATTGAGTAGAGGCACTGTCAGGAGGGCCTCACTTAGAGATGAGAGCCATTGGAATAAGGGAGAAAGAGCTCTGGACTCAGGGCTGCACCTTTGAGGAACGGCTCTTCCACCTTTGGGCAATCTCTTTTCCTCTATGGAGATTTACAGGCCCTACAGGAAGGGAGACAGCTCCCACTGCCTGTTTCTGGCTGCTGGGGCATCAGAATCAGTGAGTTCTCATGTCTGAACCTCTCTCACTTGCTTTACGTAAGAAAAGGAATAAGGAGAACAGAGAAGTGTCTGTGACAAGCTTTAGGTTTTGTTTTTGTCTTCTGGAAATGTTTTGTGTCGGGTCAAATTACCACACATATATGATATATCCATGTGTGTATGTGTGTGCATATTTCTCTTTTTCTGATTATAAATATAATGCATGCTCATTAGAGAACCTCTGGAAAATACAAAAGCCAAAAGTCAAAAACAGGAATCACTGATAAGACCATTACCCAGGGACCATTGCTCTGCCTTTGGGTTTATTACGTTTCCTTTCATTCATTTACAATATGTATGTCATTCAAATACACAAACATAATAGAATTTGTTAAATTTGTATTATATTTTAGAAGGTTTTATATCATATTTCTTCTATTTATTGTTGACATTTTCCTATGTGATTAAATGTTCTTTGAAAACATTTCAGTTACATACAGAGGAATTAACTCTTTTTGAGTTCTGAGTGTTGGTAAATGCAGACATTTAGGTCACCACCATAGTCAAGATACAGAACAGTTTCTCACTCCCCAAAAATTCCCTCACACTGCCCCGTTGTAGTTACCACTCCCCCTAGTCCTAATCCCTGGCAACCACTGATTTATTCTCCTTTCCTACAGTTTTGCCTTTTCCAGAATGTTATAGAAGTTGAATAATACAGTATGTAGCCTATGGGTCTATCTTCTTTTATTAGCAGAGTGCATCTGAGTGTTACTCATGTTGCTGCATATACCAATAGCTGGTTACTTTGTATCGGTAAATATAGAGAGTGTTGCTGAGTACTGTATAGATGTACCACAGTCAGTTCATCCATTCACCAGCTGAAGGACATTTGGGTTAGTAAACATGACTTCTACCAGTTGAATGATATTCTATTCTACAGATATACCAAACCACATGAAGACAGTTCCCTATTATTGGACATGGTGAGTTTCTTCCCCCTCCCCATTATATATAACCATTAAATGAACAACTTTTTTTTAATTAAATTATTTATTTATTTGACAGAGAGAGTGGGGGGAAGGGCAGAGGGAAAGGAAGAAGGAGAAGCAGACTCCCCTCTGAGCAGGTAGCCTGAGGCGGGGCTCAATCCCAGGACCCCAAGATCATGACTGGAGCCAAAGTCAGACATTTAACTGACCGAGCCACCCAGGCACTCCTAAATGAACATCTTTATACATAAATCTTTGCATGCCAATATATATGTATACATTTATATAGTGTGCCAGAGTCCAGCTCCAGCCGGGGTGGGTCTCTCGTAGGAAAGGACGGCGTCGGCGAATGAGGAGACACAGACACAGGATCAGGTTGCAAGCATCTCCTCTTGACAGCCTCAGAGGAACTTTATTTCTATGTTAGGATATTTTTGTTTTTCCATACTTTCGTAACATGTGATTATGTTTTTTTTTTTTACAATTTATCGAGATAATCTTAGATCATTTTCTGGATTACAGCCATAGCCTTCTTTCATTTTTCCTTTGTAATGATTAACATACCTTTATTGATTTCCGCTTATTGACTTTTGCTAAAACTAAAAAGCAGTACGCAAAGAGAAAGGTGCTAGACAGAGCGTGACCGTCTTGTTATTTCGTTCTATAGAAACCAATTCTTCGTGGAATTAGTTTCATTATGATTGCTTAGATAGGCGTAACTAAGATGAGTAGTCACTTTATCATGCAACCCCAGAAATATTCCCACAATTATAAAGATTGCCATAAACAAAATGAAAGAGAATAGCAGGAGCCAGCTGTGGAGTCTCCTGTTTTCAGGATCGTCCCCCATACTTGGACCTTGTCAAACAGCATGAGTAGCTTGGCTCGTGCCAATAGTGTATATATATCTTAAGCTATCAATAAGCAAGCAGTGTGCCCCACTGAGGATAAGGGAAAATACAGAAAAAATACAGAATTTAGTTCTGTTAGCATTTCCTAAAAATATTTTTTATACAGCAATAGTTTGGATCTCAATGCTTTGTACCATTATGAAATAAGAAGCTAATAACTCGCTTTAATTCTAATGCAGCAATTTTAACCTGTTCAATAGGACTAGATGAATTTCTTGTCTCTGAAATCTGGAGCATGTGTATCATTGAAAACTCCTCTCAGGACATTGTTTTCCCAGCAGGGAGCTTCATTAGACAATGGAATCACCTGGTATGCACAGAACAAGAAGGATGAATGTGCAAAGGGCAGGCTTCAGGGCTGGTGGACGGTTAGGGCTGCACAGCGGAGTTTCCAGTTACATTTGAACAGCTGAAGCCAGAGCCACTAAGAAAGGAATGATATGGCTGGCACCAGGTTCTGCCCAGAGAGGTGGGACTTCCCTTTGAGTAGATGCTGCTGCCCTGCAAATCAAAAAGGAAATAAAGAAAATTTCAGTATTGGTGTCTGGCGCCTACTTTCAAAAATATGCATACACGCACACTGCAGAAAAAATGAAATAGTACAGAAAGTATAAAGTGAAAAGTAAAAGTGTCTTAGACTCCCCATTCTTTTTTTTCCCTAAGATTTTATTTATTTATAAAGAGAGAGAGCAAGCATGAGTGGGGGAGGAGGAGAGGGAGAAGCAGACTCCCTGCTGAGAGAGGAGCCCAATGCAGGGCTTGATCCCAGGATCCTGGGATCATGACCTGAGCCAAAGGCAGACGCTTAACCGACTGAGCCACCCAGGCGCTCCATAGACTCCCCATTCTTGCTTTCCACAGAGAATCATTGTTGACGGTTTGAGTTGGCTTCCGAGGAAGGACACCTATCTTTACATTGTGCACACACCTACACACACCTTCATGCACCCTTTTACAAGCACAAATGGATCTGCAACCTTTTTCAACTAACATCAGATTTTGGACACATATCCTTATTGAACATATTAGTTACTTCATTCTTCCTCATGGATGGATTCTTACTGTATGGATATACTATAAAGCTAGCCAACCTCTGTACTGATGGACATTGTATCACTGGAGTTTAACTAGTAAGGAAAAACCTATCTTGACGTTAAGACACCAAGAGAGGACCTGGCCAAAAAAATGGACTCCGACCATAGCAAATAGAGTCTGACCACTGACTGGATTTTTTAAAACGGAAATTACTGATTTTTAAAAACCAATTAAAAGATACATTTTTTAAAATCATGAAACAATCTAATGTTGCCTTGGAAATTTATCCCATGGTTTTGGACTCCATTTGATTGCTGGTCACCCTTTTTTTGCTAATGATTATTGCAGCATTATTTACAATTGCCAAGATTGAGAAACAACCTAAATGTCCATCCATAGACAAATGGATAAGGAGGATGTGGTACACACACACACACACACACACACACACACACACACACAGAGGAATATTACACAGCCATAAAAGGGATGAGTTTTTTTTTTTTTTTTTTTTATCATTTGCAACAACATAGATGGACCTAGAGGGTCTTATCCTAAGTGAAATAAGTCAGACTAAGAAAGACAAATACCATATGATTCACTCATATGTAAAATCTAAAATAAAAAAACAAATAAAAAGTGGAATCAGACCTGTAAATACAGAGAACAAACTGATGGTTGCCAGATGGGAGGGAGGATGGGCAAAATGGATGCAGGGGGTGGAAGATACAGGCTTCCAGTTAGGGATGAAGAAGGCACAAGAAAAAAAAAGGCACAGCATAGGGCATATAGTCAATGATACTGTAACAGACTTGGGCGCCTGGGTGGCCCAGTTGTTAAGCGTCCGCCTTCAGCTCAGGTCATGTTCTGGGATCTAGTCCCGCATCAGGCTCCCTGCTCAGAGGGGAGCCTGCTTCTCCCTCTCCCACTCCCCCTGCTTGTGTCCCCTCTCTCACTGTGTCTCTCTCTGTCAAATAAATAAAATCTTAAAAAAAAAAAAATACTGTAATAGACATATTTGTTAACAGATAGTAGCTACACTTGTGAGCATAGCATAATATATAAATCTGTTGAATAACTATGTTGTACACTGGAAACTAATGTAACATTGTGTGTCAACTACACTCAAATAAAAACAAAATAAAGGAAGGCACCTGGGTGGCTCAGCCCATTAAGAGGCTGCCTTTGGCTCAGGTCATGGTCTCAGGGTCCTGGGATCCAGCCCCATGTTGGGCTCCCTGCTCAGCGGGGAGTCTGCTTCTCCCTCTGCTCCTCCCACCCCCATGTTCACTCTCTCTCTTTCTCTCTCTCTCTCTCAAATAAATAAATAAAAGAATCTTAAGCAGCCCACACATTTGTACTAGGGCTCCTCCTGCTGGACATTTTCTACAATTGCACTTCTGATTCAGATAATCTCAGACTTGATTTACTCAAAATTGATTTTTTTTTTTTTTGCTTTAAGATAATTAACGAATATAAGGGTATAGTTATGCTTATTCTTTTAAAAAAAGATTTTTTAAAGATTTATTTATTTATTTTAGAGAGAGAGCACGGAGGTGCAGAAGGAGAGGGAGAGCACACTCCCTACTGAGCGCGGAGCCCACCACAGGGCTCCATCTTACAACACTGAGATCATGACCTGAGCTGAAATCAAGAGTTGGACACTAACAAACTGAGCCATCCAGGCATACCTATGTATATTCTTTTAGAAAAATAAAATATTACAGAACAAAATAGTTATACTGAGTGTCTCCATCCTTTTCCAGTTCTCACTCCCTTTCCTAAAAGTAACCACTTAGAGCAATTTGGAGTTCATGTCCTTAGACCTATTTCATCATTGATGTCCATTATCATGCACAAATAGAAACATACAGTTTTGTTTTCCTTTGCTTTTCATGACTGGGTTCATGTTCTAGGCCTTTACTTGTCACATTTTTTTTTTCTTTAAAGATTTTATTTATTTATTCATGAGAGACAGAGAGAGGCAGAGGGAGAAGCAGGCTCCCAAGGAGCAGGGAGCCCGACACGGGACTCAATCCCAGGACCCTGGGATCATGACCTGAGCCGAAGGCAGACGCTTAACCATCTGAGCCACCCAGGCGCCCTACTTGTCACATTTTAACATAAACTTTTCCTGTTTATGTGAGGTTGTGCTTGAGGGCAGCTTTCATGCAAAGAAAAAAACACTATTGGCAATTACTTTGGCTTAAAAAATTAATTCTAGCTATTAAATTTACAAATTCAAAAACTTTATTTCCCCATACATTTGTCTATTTAATTTATGAATCATGTTTTTCTATTTAAAAACCTAGGGGGTTGCCCGGCTGGCTCAGTTGGTAGAGCATGGCTAAAAATTTAGTAAAATCTAAGTACTTATGTTATTGAAATATAACTTTCAACAAAAAAATCCCAATCTGATATGTTTGGAATCAAAGAGCTATTCCAACAGCTATTTTTATATGTTAAATTCTGTAAAATGTTGCAAATAAATTAAATACCAAAAACTGTAAGTTGTTCCTAAACTTACCACAGAACTATTAATAACATGAGTTAGATTTATATAAACAGCTGTTTGTTCCATTCTAAACCTTTGCAGATTAAAAGTCCTTTACTCCATTATCCCTAAGCAAGTGGAGCTTGGAATTCCCACTTCTGTGTCCTGGGGTGTGTTGGGGGGAGAAGGGACAACTCATTTTGGACAGAGAATTCAGACCAAGATAAGAGATTTGATGTTTCTCCTTGACCCTGACTGACAAAGTGAGTCCTTATTTTAATAACATAAGTACATCTGTTTTCTCATATCTTCGCCAATCCAGTAGATTATCATTGTACTGAATTTTTGGCCAAAACTAGAGCCTATAAGCCTTTAAGTTTGTTTTCTACATATTTTTTCACTTGAATTGTTCATGAGAATTTTTCCATTGCTGTATGATTATTCCTACCACTGCCCCCCACCCCAATTTTATGGAAATATAATCTACATACAATATCTACATTATATTCCATCCAGTAAATGTAATCCTTCGATGTAACCACTCACTTCTCA